GGGCCCTTGTTTTCAGAAGCACCTAAGTTTGTCTACTATATAAACCTATATGAACACTCCAACTTTCTGCTGCGCACCCTTCAACGTTTTCAGACTACATATACAACGTGAAAAGACAACCCACCCCATGAAGCCTTATTGTGAACGTCCGCAAAGACGTCAACTCCAAACACATCAGATTTCACAATTGACCAGAACTTAGCCGACTGGTTTTGCGTTTTGGAAGGCACCCAATTTCGTATCCTATACTCCTGAGGAAAATACTTAATGCTGAAGGGATCTGCTAGTTAGATCCTCCCAACATATCTGGATTATCCTGAACGAGGTGTGGTTTTTGAAGGGCTCCGGGGTTCGGAGAGGTCTCTGAGAATGTCTGGGGTGCAGGCGAGTCCCAGAGAGCCCAACACCCCTCAGAAATATTCCGCATAAGTCGCAATGTGAAGAAGCCCCAGATGGTTTAATGCAACATTTCTATCTTTTAAGGTCTTGGAGAGGGGCTTCTTCAGTTGCAGGGCACGCAGCATGCGATATTAGCATTAATCAGAAAATTACCAAATAACCAAATAGTTAAGAAAAAATCAGAAAGCGTTAGAATCATTTCGGCAACCTGGAGACAGAGTGCTCAGACTCCCGGTGCGGCAATTGGTACTCAATGCTTTTGTTGTCCACCGATTTTCCATTTCCGTAAATGAGCAAAACTGGAGCCGAACACAACCAAGCCCGAACAGGATACTAGCCGGTTTTCGACAAACAAAAGTATTCGTTTTTGTCTACGGTGTTTGCTTGTTTGTTGATTTCACATTTGTGGTTTCTAAGTGTTCCTAAAGTGTTCTAAGTTCCCCTGTTTTTTTCCTTACGTGCCCTGTGATTTTCTGTGTTCTTCCAAGTTGGGCCGAGACTTTGGAAGTACTGCGTCAGAGTTTGGCACATGGTGTGGGGACAATATCCTCTAAACCCTAAACCCTAAACCCCTGAACCCTACACCTGGTTTCGGGGTTTGGCACACACACACACACCGGGGCCAAGGCTTCGCCGCATGGAATCTTTCTTCCCTTGATCTGACCCTAAATTAGTTCGGGTTTTGGGTTTAGGGCTTGCGAGTTTCCGAAAATAAGGGGTACCTTAATTCGGGGTCCTTACAAGAAGGATCCCATTATTGAGGCTACTATATCAGGGTCCCCTATTTGCGCAAGCCCAAAAATTAGAGTACACCAATGGTTCTGGACGGGGGGTAGCCATGAACAGCAATAATTTCTGGTCCATTCGAAATCAGTCTCTCTCATTCACGATTTATTATTCCTCAAGCTCTCTAAACCCTAAACCCTAAACCCTACGGCACTTGAAGAGGCTCCTTTCTGAAGAAACACCTCAAGATCTTGCTTGATTCTAGTTTCAGTGCAAGATTTCCTATATACGACCGCAAGAAGATAGATGTTGTTGGTGGCAGGTACACCCTAAGCCCTAAACCCTAAACCCTAAACCCTAAACCCTAAACCGTGGCCAGTACACCCTAAGCCCCGAGCCTCCGCCCCAATCCCGAAGCTCCGTCTTCAGTCCTGCACTGCAAATCAGAATCCTACTTGAGGGGTTAAGGGGTTTAGGGTTTAGGGTTTAGGGTTTAGGGTTTAGGGTTTAGGGTTTAGGGTTATGGTTTCGGGACACCTATAACTTAGCTTTCAGTTTGTATGCTGACAGAGCAGGGGTCCAATTTTCCAGAAGAGCCGGGGGAACCGTATTCAGGGTTCTTGTTGCACAAGGGTCCCAGTTCGCCCAACCGAGTGGTCACGCCGTGGGCTACTGATTCTTTTTTGTCCTGCAGGCGCCCCGCCCACATCCCCAGGGAGAGATTGAGTTGAAGCACCCACGCGCATCGACAAAGGGATAGGGGATGGACGATGAATCCAGAACCAGGCGAAGGGCGATCCCATTAATCCAAACTCAGACCCAAACCCAAGCAGGCAGATCATATCGTATATGAGTGGAGGGGGGCCCGGGGGGAGGGGGGGGTGGTTGGAAGGGGCAACCCTGCCTTTTCACAGTGAATTGGTTCTCAAACTCGTACACGGAAAGGGGCAGTTCGGGTTTGACAGTCAGAGACCCGCATTTAGCTTACATGTTAACCCTGAGCCTTTGATCCTGAGCTAAGCCCGAAACCGCAATCCCACCAACGGTAAACCTGTAGCGCCGAAGACAAGACCCTGAACCCAGGAAACTGCGCAGAAGACGAAGCATTTCGAGAAGACCCGATATTTCAGTGAGCCCCGGGCATTGGTCAAGACCCTCGCCTTCCAGTCCGGTTTAGGGTTTAGGGTTTAGGGTTTAGGGTTTAGGGTTTAGGGTTTAGGGTTCGGTATTTTGTGTTGTTTGATATAGTTCGGGGCTTTGGGTGTAAAGCTTGGATGCGTGGGGTCGAGGCCTGGGATTGGGAGTTGATTTCAGTTGGGATTCAGGTGTTCTTTCAGGCATCCTACTGTAGGAGTCCACCAGCACGTAAAGCTGGATTTCTAATTAGATGCTCGTTGTTGGCTCTTGGTCTGGCCTAGGGTCGTGGAAATGGGAAATCGTGTTGTGGAGGTATTTTGCTAATTGGACTTCGAATCTAAGGTTTCATCCCAAGGGCCGCTTAAGCCCAGTTAAGTTTAGGGTTTAGGGTTTAGGGTAAAGGGTTTAGGGTTTAGGGTTTAGGGTAAAGGGTTTAGGGTTTAGGGTTTAGGGTAACCCGAAAGCCTAAACCCTGTTGTGTTATGACCTCGAGTTCACCATGGTCATTCTGATGACGGCACTGCGAGTGATGCCAGCAGTCGCACAACCACTTGCACCAGAGACGTCATACTTATAGTACATTATCTACACACAGACATACATACATACATACATACATACATACATACATACATACATACATACATACATCACGTCTTTCACATCTTTATGGCACAGAATCCGAGTCGGTTGCAGCCCCTGCTGAGCATCTAATTAGTGAAACCTAGCCGAGTCTACCAACGGTCCCATGCGTTGCGGAGGTAGATACTGCTGCCAATTCGACCTTGTTGGAGGCAGCAAATCTCGGCGAGAGGAGTAATGGACTGTCTCTCAATAGACGAAAGGAGCACGGTAGCAGGAAACGTGCCTACATACATACATACATACATACATACATACATACATACATACATACATACGTACATACATGCATACACACACTTTGCGCACATTCACACATACATGCATGCATGCATGCATGCATGCATGCATACATGCATACATACAAGATCGTGTGAGTATATATATATATATACATAGAGAGAGAGGGGCTTACCCCACTCCACGGAATCCTTTCTTACACGTGACGATCATTACCGTAGGAGACACGCAAGTTTGTGTGTAGCTTTTTGCGGCTCAACCTAAAGCAAAACCACCACCAACAAGGAAGGCTAACGTCGAACACAGAGCCCATCCTTCTCCAGAAGTCCTTGTTAAATTTATGTAAAACCCTCCAAGAGCCGGGCCTTCCACGTGCTATGCCTAAACATGTAGATCGTACGTAGACTTAAACGACAAACCTCGAGGCAAGACAACCCTTCAAAACCAGCAGCCTCAAGAGCGGATAATATGTCTTCCACCGATTTCAGATCTTCAGTGCACTTTGAAACACGGGTCCTGCAACAGTTCCTTTACGTGTTCCTATAAAGGGTTTCGGGCTTGGGGCCGTTCAGGGTCTACAGGGCTTAGGGTTGAGCACGTAACCGAGGATCCCACCTGAGATGCTCGAGCCCACTGAGGCCGCCTCTCGCGGGTTTTGCAGGCTTTCCTATGCAGAAACAACCTTGGGTACTTGTTTGTGTGAGTTTTAAGTTGTTGCGTTTTGAAATGTCTTGTTTTCGATCAACCGCGGTACTTGTTCTATTCATTTTTAGTTGAAGGGCGGCCAGAGTATGCTTTACGGAGATCCGCTTCAGAGAAACGTCTCATGCTCTCACTAGTCTAAACCTATAGTCTCCATTGTAGTTCCTTTTTTTTGGTTTAACCAAGTCTATATTAAGGATCCTAAAAGGTAACCCCAAAAAAGAACTGCAATGGAGCCTATAGGAAGGGATGAAAGTGACTCTGTTCAGGGTAGGTTCTGGTCGCTGCTTTTGCAACGGAAGCAGAGAGTTGGCACCCCATTTTTAGGGGTTTAGGGGTTAGGGGTTTAGGGTTTAGGGGTTTAGGGTTTAGGGTTTAGAGTTTAGAGTTTAGGGTTCAAGGCTTGGAGAAAGGGTTGTTCTTCTGGTTGGCCGTCGGAACTTCGTGAGCTTCCTCTACAGATTGGAGTTTCTTGGCTTGAGCTTTGGCTAGACTATTGTGAAACGTACCAGACGGCGTGCTTTCAGATCCGAATCTTTGCAATGCAACTCTTCAGTACTAATTTTGCTTTTGCTGTTTGGTTTTTGGTTCTCCACAGAGACAACTTCTGCTTACCTGCTAACGGAGGTCTAGCTTGCAGCCTGAAGCCCTCGCACACCGCTAGGTCCACTGGGTCGCTAGGTATCTACCGCCACGCAGCGGGAATCCGTACTAACAACTGCGGCCTAGTACTTGAACAAGTGTCCTTGATCCTGTTTCGGAGAAGTACAATCTGTTTGTGCTTCCAAGGATGATGTATTGCATTGATCCGAAAACCACGTGAAGCAGTTTTTTTGTGTTGAACCCTACTGCATGGTCAATCCTAAACCTTCTTATGACATCCTGATGATAGAACCCTGTACCGGAAAACACGCGATGATTGAGTCAGCGGTCTTCTTGGATTGAAAACTATGGCTTTCGATTTACGGCATTATTTGTCGAATTTTGTTTACAAGTCGGTTGGCTTTGCTCCGTTGTCTGGCGGGTTTCGACAAGTTGCGTTTCTGTTTGTCGCTTCCGGTACACCCAAGCCATGTGCTGAACGCTGCACTGTTTGTTGTCTGGGGTTTGAGGACGTAGGTGTGGACCACCCTGAATCCACCTTTTGCTTTCAGGAATTCCGTGAGGCCCTGCGCGAAGCGTCGGACGAGATGGTCAAATTGGAGGAAACTCGGTTTGAGCACCGATCGGGTCGTTTGAATAGGCCCACTGGGCGCACCGTGTTGAGCACCATATGGTTAGAGCCCATTGTCCTCCGTACGCCTACTGCGTATAAAGCGTACGGGCAGTACGCGCACTAAGTATTCGTTATCCAGTTACGTTCTGGTACTCGAATCCGCCACCGATAGCTACCTCAGGCAGGAAATTGGGTCGAGACATGAGCACCGCTGTTTCGATAGGTTTCGGAGGGTCCAGACAGAGCTACACATGATACACGTGCTCGCTTTGTCAGAGCTTCTTATCTCAGATTCTGCACGCTTCTCGTGCGCAGTGCTTGAAAGTTGGGCATTGCTTGTCTGACAGCTAAACCCTAAGCCGTATAACACCTAAACCCTCAACCCTAAACCCTAAACCCTAAAGCCCAGAGTCGGTCGAATCGGTCGAAGCATTCGAAGATCCAAGAGACTTAATAAGTGCATCGTATGTGCAGATTTGCTTCCTGCATACCTGCTGTTATTTCTTATTCCTAGCCTTATGATAGTCGTCCGGTATATGCCCTGTAGCTGCCCCCCAAATACGTATGAACTCGGCATCCTTTGTAGATAGGAACTCCTTGTAGTTATGTTCCCAATGGCCCCTACTTTCAAGACTTGTGGAACAACCCCTACACCCTTCCACTGTACAGACTTGTAATATCCTTATATGGTTTAGGGTTTAGGGTTTAGGGTTTAGGGTTTAGGGTTTAGGGTTTAGGGTTTAGGGTTTAAGGTTTAGGGTTTAGGGTTTAGGGTTTAGGGGTTTAGGGTTTATATGACCTGCCCAAAGC